TGCCATTTCAATGGTATCCGTCAATACCATTGATGCATCATGCGACTTCTGCAGAAAATTTAGGTTCTGCTGTTTTTTTGCCAATACGGAATGTATCCTTTCTTTAAGATGGTTTCTCATGAAATTTCAAACTACACTTCTGGATCAGCATAGTTGTAACACGCAGTTGGTGAATCATGTCGTGAATTATGAAAAATCTGCAAGTTCGCTAAAAATACTGTTTCAAATGCTTCGACATAATAATCGAAACACTTAGAACAGCATTTGGAATCATTGCTTGGTAACGTGAAACATGCTGCGTAAGTTTTGAAGAGCGTATAAACTTACGCAGTGCAATCTGAGCAGTTTAAATTTGAATCGCTTTCTGCAATATGTTGAACTATACTAAACTCAATCGTGTTCAACCAATTTCTTCACATTCACATTGGATGCGATATCATTTAATTGCCCTTCGATATTGAAAATCATCTCCCCATTGTCCATACTGAATGTGCTCATATCCAGGGCATTAGCAATACATGTCCAGGATGCGGAACTTCCTGCAAGGTAAGCGAAGCGTCCAGGACCTGGAAGGAACACGCAATACAGGAGCAATCTACCTTTCCCTCCAATTTCTTCACCCTTTCCGCACCCTCTGACCCCTCCGCGGGCAGGCCAACGTCTTGCAATGTTCCAAATGCACCATCCAGCAAAGAAATTGCCTCTTGGCAATGGCTATTATCTCCCTCTTCCAGGAGCCGCCCGGATTGCTGAATGAGAATGGCCGCCAACCGACAGGCGAGGTGGCTGCTGAATTCCTTGGATATGTGGCAGCTGTGCACCAGCTTTTGGGCGTTGGCGAACAAATGGCTGGCAGCCACCTGGGGGCATCCAAACGGCGGTAGTCACCTGGCTGGCCGCATTGCGTTCAGCGCAACCATAGCCGGTTTTACATATCAACGAATTTTTTTCTAGAACATTCCAATGAACTTCAGTTCAATACCATCCTATGTGTTGAATTTCCAGTGGAATAAGGCATGCATGTGAACGACGCAAAGGACAATGTGATGTATCCAGCTTAGCGCATGACCCAAGGAGAGCAGCAAATAACTTTCGGTAACGATTAAACAGTGGTTTGCCAATTTCCGAAGAAACGTATTCGCCAACGGCAGTTAGACTACGAACAATACTCTGTCGACACATGGAGCGGCAATCAGATGATCGCATCCACTTGGGTCTTGTCGACGACCTTGTCGCGGCGCTCCCATGCCACAGCAGCTCTCGCTGAGGTCATGTCAAACAGCCGCTCGCACATCTCTTCCCTTTGAATTTGTGGCAAATGCGCATTCAGGACCAGTGAATGGGAAGGTCCTCCGCGCTGCATCCCCCTCTCAAAGCAGCCTTCCGCCTTTTCCAATTCCCCCAAACTCCTCCAGTACTGCCCAGCCTGTGACAAGGGACGCAGCAGCGAACGTCACTGTAGTTTATGAAAGTCTGTGCCCGGCACAGAAATTTGTTACCGCGACGACAACTGTACCCGCAAAGTACGTGCATTGTTTCCACGTGGCTTTTAAGCCGCATCTGTCTTCATGAGACGTATGCCGGTAATACATCCACAATATGAAAAGAAGAGTCCAGAAGAGCATACGAAGGAAGGCCTTTGCACAGTTCTGATGTTCGGCACCCGCTGGACGTTGGTGCCACGAATTGCCTTGTGCTGACTCCGCCAGATTGCCTATCACAGCACTAACGGCAGATGCGTGCTTCACCTGGTATTGGGTAGCCATTGCTTCTTGCTTCTGATCCTCGTCCAGGTGTCGCCCCGGCAAACAGTGGATCATTTCGCTGATGCGCAACAAACGAAAAGCTGTCTCTCGAGAATTGACACAATCAGGTTGCCGGGGGGCAAACTGGAACCGCGGGGCCGATGCCTTTTTTGGAGATCGGGCATGCATCGAGGTGTTGCTGAACCAGGCACCCAGGCAAGAGTTCAATAGAAAGTTTTGAGGACACTGGCCCTAAAGGGCGTTGCTATTGGCAGTTACGAGTCACTCTCAAATTCTTGTGGGAAAGCGCTTTGATCGGTCTTCCACCAAGAAAACGACAGGGCTCACCTCACGCACTCCCGTAGTCGACCGTAGAGCATTCGACCTTCCCTTTCCCCATCCGTCCCCTCGTGAGACGCACTGATGCAGCGATTCTTCGAAAGCGATCAAATTCCGCCTTTAGCGGTTCGCATACAAACGCGGCATGCACAATTCATCAAGCGAGAATTCGGAAGTGATGTACAGCATCTGCCGTCCGTTTCAACAAATGCTTCACACTTCAAAAAGCGCATCTTATCGCTGCTGTCAACTACTTTCCACAACAACCGTTCAGCGACACGATGAACTACATAATTGCGAGTGGCACTGCGTCGCCATCCTTCTCTTCGGGTCACAGTCCTCACCCACACTGCGCAAGCCAAGTCCCAAACGGCCCTGGTGGTGTCGCATGTGAACCGATCCGCATGGATCTCGCGCAATTGCTGCACGGCCTCTTCCACGCCCCGCACAGCACCGCCGTCGATCGCCGAGGCGTTGCCCGCCGCAACCTGTTCCACGGCGGTTCGTGCGGCGCCGATGGCGGCCTCCGTGGCGCCAAATTCCGCAGGGCCGCTCATGCGTCCGAACGGCAAAATGGCTGCGTTCGGCAGGGTGAAGAAGGCCCTCCGGTGTCCTGACGGCCGAAATCGTCAAGCGGGGGATGGCAATCCTGTCTAGGTATCCGTCGAGTGCGATCGCCGCCGCTCAATGGAAGAGGCGGATAAAAAGGGATGCGAAGTGAGTCATGGCAGTGACCCCGTGGTAGTTCAACCCCAAAACGAGCGCCTGTTGGCTGTGCCAGATTGTCACAATCGCGAATGCCGCCTGAGCGCCACTGCCAGGACATCCAATTCACGTTCAAATCCGCGTCCGGCGAGGGCTGTGTTGGTGGCATTGCTGACAGCGGCCGCGCCAGCCGTGAGTTGCCACTTGTGGGCCCCATTCCTGCCGCCCAGCAAGGTAGGCACGAAACACAAGGAGGACCCCATGTTTTGCAAATGCTTCCGCCAAAGGGCTCGGGCGACTGGAAGTGACTACGTGTGCTTGCAAGCATAGATGACGTGTGCGCCGTTACCAGCAGAAGAAACTACGGAACAAGGGGCTTATCTGAAGAAGCCCCAAAGCATGTGCTTTGGTATTCAGGCGTTCGAAAGTACGCAGTTTGCACCCCTCCTGTTTGTATGGGCACAGAGTCGAGATGGCGATAACGAGTGCTTTGCATTGACGCTGTGTTCAATTTGCCCAACTGGATGCTCCTGGTCAGCAAACGTACGCATGACCTGCTGGTGAGTATGCCAGTGCGACTGGCGCCATGGTGTGCTTCGCCAATCCGTTTTCTGACTCTTCCAAGCGTTGCAGCCACTGTCCGGATGGAATACTGTCCACCCCAACACACCGTGCGGCCGTTTCTGTCGTGTTTCTTTCCTATTCAAATATGCGCACACAACCATCCAATTACCTCACAACAGCAGCTGACATGCATCTGTTGGGACGTCGATCTCCGCTGAAAATGCGCAGTGACTGCTTATGTATTTGGCACACTACCGGGTGTGATGGGACGGTTTGAAGGTTTAAAGGGTTGAGAGAGACAGCACCCAGAAGCAGTGACTTTTTCCAGGCTTCGGCATTTCCTATCCAGTCGCCCACAATAGCAGCAACGAGTCACCGGTTGATCTGTTGCTGCCACGCCTTGTTCAGATGTACTACCAGTAGGCCATGTACTCACTGTCAGATGATTCGGTACATCTGCGCCACATACTATCCTCCCGGTTTGGGACGTAGCTTGGAAATGGCAAATTCGAATGGATATCCGCACTCGCATGGGTACATGGGGTGGAAAGGGTATTTGATGTCTGTTCCCAGTGCTGGCCCTTCTAAGCGTTGGGTTCTTAGCACCGGAATTTGTTGAGACCAGGAGCCGAATGAAGGCGACATCACAGGTACCGCTGCCGCATATTGGTTGAGCATCGGCTTTCGACGTGTCCGCCAACCGACCATGTTGTGGAGGACACAGCGTTGTCAGCTCCAAAGTGTCTCATTTCAATGCCATTTCACATCTGCATCAAATCCTCTGATTTCGCGTCCACGGAACGATACGTCAATCAATTCGAACTTTACACAACCATTATCTCAACAAGTCCTCTCGTGCACCGACTTGGCTGCCACAAGTTCCCCCACTCCACCCGCCACGATTCGTCACGAGGCAGATGGTCATAGTTCGGCACTGTTGAACAAGTCTGCAAAGATTTGGAGACTGGCCCCATTCCTGTTTAGCGGTTTTCGCAGCGCTGGCATGTGAAGTCAGATTGATGAACGTACTGAATTGCTCCACAAACACGACGGATGTATCAGCAATGTTCTGGCAACAGCAAACACGCCTCCCAACATTTCACACCCCATTTCAAGAATCGGGCAGTTCAGTTCCCAGCCGTCCTCAATCGCGACACCTGCTGCACCCCTCATATCTCCTTGCACAGCCTACAACCCCCAAAACCTGGATCTTGAAACAGGTACATCCACCATATGTGAACCAGCTGTGGAGTTCAGCAGCCATGTTATACACCAATAATCTAGCATGCCCTCACCTACCCTCTTCCTTTGGCCCAACACCCCTTGGAGCCAAATTTCTCACAGCCACTCAAATGCAATACTCTACATCATACTCATACTACCCTTATCGTCCCTGAAACCCAGCTGCACATCAATCAATGCCATCGCTCGCTTTCAACGAACGTGCAATGGAAACCGCACTGCTCTAAGCTGTCAGAATCTAGGCACTCGATGTGAATGGACCATTGAGGCCATGCCAAAGCAAACAACTGCTGCAGTGCATAGCACAGCCCTCCAAGTTGCCAGCTTCCACACGCCAACTTCTTCACCACAAGGTCTGCCCTGGCATAACGGCACCTCATTTTGATGGATCCAGGATTTTCCCCTTCACGCAAGGTAGTTGTAGATGTTCTTGTTGTCTTGGTCACGCTCAAGGTACTCCCGCCCGATCAGGTCCTCAATGCGCTTCTTGATGAGCCGTATGTCTGGCTTGAACATTCGTTGGAGCTGCTGGCACACTTCCAACACAAGCTGCAGGCAGAAAAGCAACAAAGTGTTCTCAGCCATGTCCAGCACGAGCACAGTAGCTCTTGCAAATACCAGCGCAGTCGCCTTGTAGTATATTCAAGGTCCCTCAGGACCATCCTCTGTCCACAAAAGAACTGGAAAATGCTGCTGTAGTCCCTGAAAATGTGAAAACCAGCAATGCTGCCGGCAATATCACATCGCCCAGGGCACACTGCAGTGATGCAGAGTTGATAGTGTTGCTGACTAGGTCACTAGTCACAACGCAAATACTTGAATTCCATTCACACATACAGTCGAGCCTACCAACAAATTCCAATAAGCATAAATTGAAAAAATTGGCAATCCAGCGCATGCCAAACCCACCTGCTGGTGCTGCATGCGCTTCCTCGACTTCATCGTTCGCACTACAGCAGCATCGATCGCATATCGTCGATCCTTGTCCACATCCTCAATGACCTTGCGCTTTTCGTCCACCGGTGGTAGCGGCACTTTGATCCTCTTCATCCTGTCCGTGAACTTTGCATTGACCCGAAACTTGTCACTCTTGTTGATCTTCTTATCATCGGGCTCCTTGATAAGTATCTTGTACTTTGCACAGGCCAGGGAATGCAGGCATCGTGCAATATCATCATCTTGGAGGTTCAGCCGATCTTTGATCTCTTCATAGGTGAGCTCCTCTCCTGGGTGATTATGGGAGACAGTTTGAGCACAGGCGTTGCAGGTGAACACAAATTGCCCAGCACACGATCCCAAATAGCAAGTTGGCAAAAAACAGGCGGGCGTTCGTGAGTGAGGCCCACAGATGCACGTCTTTCTTCTTTCGTTTGCAGAGAACTTGGCCATGAGGCATTCCTGGCTTACGTGAGCCGAGTTGCATCTAGATTTAGCAAGTGTCCAAATTCCAGCAGTGCAAACAGCCTTCCCTCTCACCATTGTTGAAGGCCAGCAACACAGCTGCCTGCAGAGTGGATAGTGTCAGCTCAGACACCCGGGTGTCAAAGTTGGCCTTCACCAGGCAGGTGCCCAGAGTGTATATCCAACTCAGTCGCCTGTGCTTGGTGGTGTCCTCATAGAACTCCTGCAGCCACCAGTTGAAATACACAACTCAGAATTCACAACTCGCAGGTACAGCCACTGCTCAGCTCGTGTCAACAAGTTCACCATGACGATCAAGAGGCCTAAAGTGGCAGTACACAAGGCTCTTTGGTGGAGAAGGGAGCAAACATGCTTCAGAAACGAACATTTGTACAATTCTATAGAGGCTGACCTCAACAACACAAGAGGTGTAGTGGCAACGATTTGCCAAACTCTGACAATAGTTGATTCCAGAATTACACAATATCTAAAGAATGGAAAGAGAATGACCTCTCACACACCATCTCTTCTTTTGGTGAGCTTAGGAAGACACGCACTCCCTCTGCCATCTCCTCAGGCAAGGCAAGATCTGTGGCCTTGTAGGTAGGCCAGAAGCCTGTAGTCAGCACCTGGACGCCCATATCTATGCCAACCTGTTTCTCATGCTCTCCAACCCACTCTTCAAACTCCCGCTGCTTCTCCCGGGCAAGCTGCAGATCTGTAACCATACCTTCCATCTGGCAACATTACACACATACAGATAATCAGAATCGTTGTTCCAAAAAGAATGCCAATGCTACCATTGTACCATCCAAGCAACCAACATGCAACTGTGATGGCCCAATGTCTGGAGCCTGCAGACATTGAACCTTGGCAATGTGGAACCAATGTGCTAAAAGCCAGTCACAACATGTGAACCTCAGTGTGCCTTCATTGACAATTGAGAGGATACTATGCCATCATCTTCACAATGGCAATTCGACCAACAGCACAAACCGGAAAGTCAATATCAAATACCGAACCACTGGCCCTTTTTGCCAACCCAGGCAGTGTGCTGTTGAAATGAAGGAGGCCTGCGCACCTTGGAGGTGAACTGCGCACCGCACTGCTGCTTGAGTCGTGACAGGATCGTCTGCTCATGCTCATCGCTGGCACTCTTGTCAAACAGCAGTCGCCGTGCAAGTTTCTTCCTGTAGAACTCAGCGAACAAGTCCTTGTCACTGATGTAGGCCAACAGCTTTACCACCTTCTCCAGGGTCTCTTCGATGGCTTCATCAGAAAGTTTCTCACTTCCACCCTGCAGACAATCCAGCCTCAGATCTTGAATGTATCCAACAGCCGAATGTACTTTTGATGAGCCATCATTGCCAACCAGAATTCCGATCTACATGCTGATGGGCGAACAATGAGCGATTCACCTGCAGTGTTGGTGTGCAGGGTATTTACAGAATATCAGCTCAATTCCAGCCCACAGCTTGCCCAGCCTACAGTTGCTTGACTGTGCACCTGGCAGCTGGACTGTGCGCTTACAAGCTTCAGGATCAACTGAGGATAAAAGGGCATCAATAAATGTAATCAAAGCAGCCTCAGTTCACCACCTTGAGCAGCATATGGCACTGCAGCAGCAACTTCCAAAAAGCCAACAGCATTGTTGGTGCCATTGTTCACATCCTGTGCTCCCCCTTATCTTATTTGACAACATCTAAAGCCACACTTCTTTTGCCCATTACCTTTTTCAGGAGGTTGTCACAGAAATTGGCAAAAAGGTCAGCTGCTGAGCTGCCAGCCACATTCTTGTTGCAGAAAGACTCGAACGCGTCCTTCAGTGCCCGATGGAACAGTGGGCTGTTTGAGAAACATGTTGTCACGTACTGCAGGTAAAGAGGGACAAGATTCAGTCGAGGCAATGGCATTTGGAAACATAAGCCATAGCAGAACATACAATGGGCCCTGAAATTACAGCCAGCAACACCAAAAATTGGGCAGACCCCAAGCACTGGCCCAAAGAAAACCTTTCAAAGCAATGTGGTTACTAGTCAACAGTACATGGAAAGGGGACTACACAGATCATGGAAACGACATTATCCATCACTTCAGGGCATACCTGCATATACTTGTCATGAAGCTCAATCACATCCCTCACAAACTTTTGCTCGTGGCCACTCCCCGAGTCACGTGATGGTCGACCTAAAAGAGACATCAACTGTTCTTAGAACCGCTACTGCAGAGCAAACTCCCAGCTGCTGTCAAACGCTTCAACCGATGCAAGCAGAAAACAGCAAAGACAGACTTGCATTCTGCAAGTCCGGAATCTGCATAGAGCCAGCTGCTCACCATCCGCACAGTACCTGATTCCTTCCCCTTCTTCTCCTCCACTGCAAAGGTGACATCCCTCACGAGCTTCATGCCCTCCCCCTCGATGTGGCTCTTGAACATTGTGGCCACCGGTTCCAAGCCACTGGGGATGCGATTGAAGAGTCGAAACATGCGTGCCAGGTCATCAGTCTGGAGGCAAACAAACAGACACAGATGATCAGAACAGGTAGTCCTCAAGAGATTTAACTTCAGGATTCCAAAGTGCTTTTATCCATCTACGATTGACAGCAATATCAACATTGTGCATCTGTAGAGTGTGTGCTCCAGTTGAATACAGGGATGAGACACAAGCCAGTGCCTTGGAATCCAGCAAGGGGGCTAACAATCAGACACAAAGCAAGCAAAATACAAAAGAACGCCCTTTCCCACCACCCGGATAAAGCATCTTCCATTATGTGTACATATACTTTATGCTTTCCTCCAGGCCAGCAGAACAAAGGACCACAGGAAAGACAGTACTTCAATAAGTTCAGGTGCAAGATCTGGCATATAAAAGTCCTGATAGGCCAAATCTCCAAGTGTCTCTGCAATTACATTTCAAGACATCTAAGCGCGCACCTTGTCATCCCTGAGCAGCGACCTGCACCCAGAGTTTTCCTTTTCTAGCAGGGCCTGCCGATGCTCTGCCAGCAGCTCAGTCTCCACCTGCTTCAGCAGTTTGGGCTTGCTGGACTGGTGCAGGTAGTTGTTCACCCGCTCCTCCTCCTGCTTCAGGCACTCCTCAGCTTTGATCATGTACTCGGGGCACGAGTCCTCCTGGATCCACTTCACGGCCTTGCCCCTGCACAGAACAATCAATGGGTGCACAGAGTCAGTTTCGGTTCCACAGTGAGGACAAGAACGATTGGAACACTGTGGCCAGGGGATCCAGTGCACCAAGTATGCCCAGTCTGCTGGACTGCCAAAGGCTGATGCCTCTCAAAGCCTCTGCAGGTGCTTCTGCAGTGTTCTGTCCAAGTATTGCATGCACCATCAGAGCACAAGCAGTTGGAGAAGATTCTCAAGCCCGTGGTGGCAACAAAGGCAGCAGAGCAGAATCCCAGGCAAAGAGGTACGACCTCAGAGGTGAAGATAAAATTTGTGGACATTCACCTCAGAAGCCACACCTCAGGCAACTGCATTCTGCCCACAAGACTAGGTGGCAGTTCTCAGCCAATTGGAAGGTAAGCCCTGCACATCATCCCACCTGTAGTACTCCGCTGTTGTGTTCAACAGCTGACCCTCAAAGTCACCTTCGTAGCACTCCATCGAGTTCATGCCCATGGTTATGTAGATGTCCAGGATGTTCTTTATCAATGTCCTGTCGATCGACTCTCCCTCCCGCTCCCGGTGGATGAGGTCCAGCACTGCCTGTCGGGCTCTGCCCTTGAGTACTGCATAAACAAGGTCTGTGGCAGCATGCACATTCAAGACTTCAGTGCCAAAGACAGTGTTTAGAACAGAACTTCATTGATCATTATCGAAATGTTTTGGCATTCAAGGAGAGTTCACATTCCAGTGCGTGTTCAGCAGCAATGGCAAGTGCAACTGGCTTTGATTTGTTAGTTTACACACAAGATCCATATGGACTGCGTGTGCACAACACACTACAAGGCTTTGCACCTTGTGGGCTATGATGGCCGCAGCAGCATCCAACCAGCGTTTCTTTGTTCACAGTTTTGCGTGCAAGCATCGCCATCATCAAAGCCCCAGCCAAGACTTGATGAACGCAACTGAGTTGTTGGAGTTTGCCACTTGCAGAACTAAGGGAACACCATCACACACTGCCAAAATTCAACACGAGAATAACCCCAGTGCGGCCAACATCATAGCAAGTTAGTTGCTGGACGTACCCTTGAATGTCAGGTCTCCCACAGTCTTCAGGTTGTCTACTGAGTGCCGCCCAACATAGTACCTGCGCAAGGCAACAGCAGTGGGATGGGGTGAGCCATCAGTACACATCAACGAATCGGGGTTTTGCAGGGAGTTGGGGATAGGTCGATGCCTGTGGGTGTTCACTGCTCACAGCTCGTTTTGGGCATCCTGGTCAACAGCTTGTGCAACAAGACTTGCTGGGCTCAACAACTTGACACAAACCAACAGGAGCATC